ATAAATAAAAAAAAAACAGTATATTAAAAAAAAAAACTCTAAAAACTCATCTGGTGAATTTAATTTTATACGTTTAAAATACAAGACAAAACTTACATACCAGATAACTGAGTACCATTCAAAATTATAACTTTATCTTAATAATATACTTAATAAATAATTTTATTAAATTTTAAACTCCAATTCTAATTAAACTTTGGGGAATAACATTTATGATATTATATAATTTTTATTCCAAAAGAAATTAGTCTTTGATAGTATCTCACGCAAAAAAAAAGTAATATTTTTTTTGTGAATTATAAAAAGTAATATTATTCATTAATTAGAAATTATGTTACAAATAATTTTTAAAATAATTATTAAAAAATTTAAACAATCTTATTAAAATACAAGTTGGGTTAATTACTCTTCGGTTTTTTATTTCATTTAATTAATCTAATTAATTTTTTATTATTATTACAATATTTAGTTTAGTCTCTTATTTTTTTAACGAATTAACGTAGTTAATTTCAATCGAATAAAAAATTATATTATATTATTTTAAAAACAAAAAATTAAATTAATTTCTAATAGAAGATCTTAATTTAATTAAATAAAATAAGAGATTAAAAAAGTAATTACAGGAGAAAAGTTATAAAAAAAGGATAGATAGAGAAACTTTTTCATTTACAAATACAAGTCACACAAAAAGCTAACTATTATTATTAAAAATAAAAATAAAAATAAAAAAATTAAATCCTGGTTTGATTGATTTACGTTCAGATCTCAAGCATGATCGATCTCGTCGGAGAAGGATAGGCGAAGAAGAGAAAGAAGAAAAAAATCGAATAATATTTCCATTTTGGTGATGACGATACGCATTCCGTGAACCTTGTGGCGTATTGTATTCGATGGCGTCCTCCAGCACCGGCAACAAGATCCACGCTGATGCCACTGACGACGAACTCACCGAACAAGAAGAAGAAGAAGAGGAAGAAGTAAGTATAAATTTTCACCGCATGAAGTTACCGAATCTAAATTGATTTTGGTTCCTCAGTTGGAATCGGATTTGAGACTGCTGATTTGTTTTCGTGTTGATGATTTTCACAGCTCGAGCACTTTGATGATTTCACTCTCGCGTCTTCGTGGGAACGGTGTGTCTCTTCGTATGGATAATGGCTAATTCACATTGTTGTGTTGTGTGTGCTATTCGCATGCATGGATAGAAAGGAGATGCGATTGGTTTAGTTTGAATTTGATTCAATTGTTGTTGTTGCTTTGTTGTAAATCGTGTTTTTGTAGGTTTATTTCTGAAATAGAGGCAGTTTTGCGGCTTTGGATGTCTGATGGGCCAAATAATTTATTGGTAAGAGCTGGAAGTAACAGAATTTAGATTATGATGGGATAAATTTTTCAATAAGCACTTATAAGAAGAAGAAAAAGTATGTTAAATGAATTGAGCTTCTCGCATATCAACTTATACGCTTAGCTTTTATAGAAGCGTTTTTCAATTCATTTAACTTCTGCATAAGCTAATGTGCGTAAGTTGATTTTAGCTTGTGGAAGCTCACTACGTTTTACCTTCTTTGTAATGATTGGAATGCTGCTGGTGTGAAATGAATATTATTCTGGAAGTTTACATGCTTGTGTGGGATATGGTTTCTTCAATTTCGTTTTTTCTATGGTGGTTTAAGAATGGTTGGTGGAGGAGGGGGTTTTGTTTTTTTCGAAGTTATATTTTTCCCTGTTGAAAACTGAAAATTTATGTTGTTTTTGTTTTTGGACCAGAATGAACATTTTTTTTTGTTTCCCTAGGAAAAAGGTGCAGTTCTGTTGGAGGATTCTGGTAATTTGTACAAGGTGAAGTCTGAGATGAAGTATGCCATGAAAAATTACTGCATGGAGTTCTATTTCAAGACCGACCCTGATGGTAAATTTTTTTTGGGGTGTTGGGTTGAGTAGAAATGTTTAGCAGGTTGAGGTTTAGGGCTCAGAAAAGTTTTGTTTAATCTATTTTTGTATCTAGTTGATGCAGGAAAACTTGCGGACTGGAATTTTGATTTGCACGATCTGCAGTTATGTTATGGTGTTAAGGAGTTTTTGGTATGGTTTAATTTTGCATCTTGCCTTTCACTGGAATTTTAATGGTTTTACTAAGAATAAGGAAACAATACTTTTCATGTATATCACTAGGTGATTGCTCCTCAGAGTGCAAGTGGCGTGGTTCTCGATGCGCCAGAGGCTAGCAAGCTCTTGAGTGCTATTGCAATTGCTTTGTCTAATTGTTCAAGGTAATTATCGTCCCTTGCTCTTTAACACTAAGTGAGTTGTGAAACTTTAGAATAACTTATGCCCATTGGCATAGTTATATCACATTTGTATGTTTGATATTTGTAAGTGATAACTAGATGCAGCTTGCTGCACGTTACTATTTAGTATTTGGGTTTGTCTTGTCTCTTGTTTTTTAGTAGAGAAAGTTTCTCTGTTATGGGATTGAAATGGAATGGTTTACAGGGTTTAAATCAAGAGATTGTTGAAATATTCAGTTTAGTTTAGATAATTAAAGTGGAGATGTGCTTTCTCATAATATTGGCTTCATAGTTTATGGCCAGCATTTGTTCCAGTTCATGATCCATCTCGGAAAGCTTATATTGGAATTCAGAGCATGGGTACTGTATTTACTAGAAGGTTTGAAGCAGATCGAATTGGTAGTCAGGTTCCTGTAAAACTTATGCATTTGGAAGGGCTGTACGAGTTATTTGTATCTAAGTTTGTGAGTTCCTCTCCCAAGTTGTTCAATTTAATATCTATTTGATTTTGTGATGTAGGAATACATCCATTTTGAATTTGGTATTCCCTTCTTGCTTTGTGCTTTTGTACTTTGCTTGCTCCCTTCTTTGAATCCGAAGCAGATATATTTAGTCCTCTGATACAAGTGAAAGTGGTTTGCCATTCAGTCTAAAGCAGATATATATCGTGAGATGAAATAAGTAATTGGATACATAAATTTATCAATAATCATTCAGTAACAAGGATAATAAAATTGACACAACTTAGATGATGTACCATAAGTGTTTTTAGGGTTGTTCTTTAATCAAAATTGGAATTTTAGTATAGTAACCTGTGCGTTAAAGGTCGGTGTCAATGGTAGAGCATTTGTTGAGAGAGGTCAACCTCTTAAATGGATCTTTGCACCTCCAAGGATTAGTATTTGGCTCTTGACCAGAGGATATAAAAAGGCTGGTGTGGATTACCGAGATGAAACTAATTTTAATTGGAGAATGACACCAAAAATATTTATAATATTGTACCTAAATTTTGTTCCAATGCAATCGTTTTCTAAATTGATGGTTTTTTTACCTTAATATTTGCATGAAATAGTTGGCAATTTGTTCTGAGCTTTCTAAGAAAGTTATTTTTGTGATTTTTTTTCTTTTATATATTCTTTCTTCCTTTACACTGTGTTTTTTTTTTTGGCCCACAAAAGATAATATATATATATATATATATATAGAGAGAGAGAGAGAGAGAGAGAGAGAGAGAGAGAG